CCGGACGGCCGTGAGCGGGCCGCGCCGCCATTGTTTTCTCACCGGGCGCCCTTTGCCTCATTCCCACGGAAACCTGGTTACTTGACCAGTCTCAGGTTTTCAGTGGCTTCAAGATAAAGCCTGACAGCCTTAGTGAGCATTGCTGGCCAAGGCCTCCCGGAACGGTTTACTAATAATTGGGAGATTGGTTAAGTTTATGTTTTTGTGTCTTGATGTACAGGCCACGACTTTGAACTTCCAGCATCTACCAAGAGCGATGGTGCTTGAAAAGGTTATTATATTTGCTGACTTATCTGGAAAGGGCATTTGAGACAGTGGCTTTATTCTGCATTCCCCTACCCCCTACACACGCACTGGTTTGTCGTTAGGTCTGACAACAGCAAAAGAAAAAGAGGGGAGCTTTTGCATTTGACATTCTCAGCTTACCCATAGCCTCCACTCTCCCAAACTTGCCTGTCAGTGCCCGGGAAACGTTAGTTGAATATAATAAATGCAGCTCAGGCCTGGCCGGCGTGGCTCAGCGGTGGAGCACCGACCTGTGATCCAGCACCTCCGGGTTCTGTCCGGGTCAGGGCAGGTGCCCAGGTTGCAGGCTGGATCCCCAGCGGGGGGCGTGCAGGAGGCAGCTGATCAATGACTCATCTGAAATTTAACTACTTTTTGGCTGAGTGTGGTTATTAATGCTTTTAATTACACGCTTAATTATATTCTGTTTGGTTTTAATAGTAGTTAAAGCCATTAAGCCTCAGAAGAATTTTTATCATTGGTTCCCCAGATAGAAAATGAAAGAGTTGGTCCTAGTGACTTTCCAAGACCTCTTCTGGTCCTTGAACTTCGATGACTTGATCGCTCAACATGAACTTCAGGGTCTAAAAGAATTCTTTTTATGAAAGGCAGAATAAAAATCACCCCCAATTTTATCCAGGTGAGAAGTTGAAACAAAGCCTGCTTACTATTTATATATAAAATGAAAATGTAATTTCTGTATACCATAAGAGAGCACTCAATGATTAAGGGATGAGTAGAAAATAGCATGAAGGGGGAAATACTTGTTTGAAACTTATGTAATTATATTAATTCTGTTTTTATTTTCTGTATCTTAGGATGTTTTAATATTTTGGGGGCCTTCCAGACCCAAGGAGAGACTACACCTCCCAGGGCTAGCTAATTCCCAAATATAATAGCAACTTGCCTAGGAATATACCTTTTGTACGCAAACCAACCATTTTGAGACTATACCTCCAACCACTCAACTCTCATACACCACAACAATATTTTCCCTGACCGAAGTCATCCCAGGGCCAGGTACCAGGCAATTAGAGACCACCCCTATAGCCTTTATAAAGTCTGCCAGAATGATTCATGCTGGCTAATCCTAAAATGTTCACCCTGCCCTGCCTTCCTTTTCCCATGCAAGTCCCAATAAAGTTTCTGGTCTAAACTTTTCACTACTGCTTCTGCGTCCTGACCAAAGCCTAGTGCTCCCCATGTGGTCCTGTGTGGCATGGCGTGCCCCCTCCTCTCTGGAAATGTAAATAATAAATTCTTTAAATGGCATTGACCTCTCCATATCATCATTCAGTAATCTGCATAGATTAAAATTCCGTGGGTTCAAATGAGATGATGACCTACATTCAGCTTGAGTAAATGGGGAGTTTCCTGTTCTCCATGCTCCTTATAGCTGTGGCTGATTGTTTCACTTACTTAGGATGCCTTACAAGTGAGACTTCTAACGCAGTCTGTGCAGGCCAGGTGGCTTTGCAATATTTTAGGATCACTCATCAAAGCCCTAGACTGGGCCAAATTTTTAAAATAAAGGATTTAAAAAAAAAAAAATACAGTATAAAGTGACAAGGGCATCCAGGGATAGGAATGGAGAATGGCAGATGATTGCAGCAGCCATTGCTTGTTTCTTCTGGAACAACTGGTCATTGAGTGTGCCCTACTGAAGCTAACTCCCTGGTATCTTCCCACATGAAATTGAGTTCCTTATTGCTTAAGGCCTCCTAATGAAAATAATAATAGCTACAATTAATTGGGTACCTGCTGTGTGTCTTTAATCCTCACATTAGTAGGTCTTTATCTCCAATTTATTGATGAAGAAACTGAGACTCCCAGAGATTAATTATCTCATTGTCTCACAGCTAAGGTGGAGAGCTAGTAAGCAAAGGGCCAGGGTTGAGAATCCAAATCTATCTGATTTCAATCCTTCACTCTTTCCCCCACCCTGCACTGACTCTGGAATGAATCCCAATGTGAAGGATTCCTCTTCCATCTGCCTGTGAATCACTGGTACCATGCCTCAGCCTTGCAAGAGTTAACACAGCCACCGAGGCTCTTTCCATGTCATGACCATGTGCGGATACTCTTCTGGGTTGCATGGGGAAATCTCATCACCTCTGGCTCCTGCTTTTTTGTTACCCTCACCCAAGGATATTTTTTCCATTGATTTTTAGAGAGAGTGGAAGAGAGGGAAGAGGGAGAGAAAAGAGAGAAAGATAGAAACATTGATATGAAAGACTTATTGATTGGTTGCCTATTGCAGGCGCCCCAACCAGGCCCAGGGGTGGAACCAGCCACCCAGGTACGTGCCGTTGACTGGGAATTGAACCCTTGACCCTTTGGTCTGCAGACCGATGCTCTAACCACTGAGAAAACTGGCCAGAGCATGGCTCTTGCTTCTTAATCTGAAAAATGAGGGATTAGAGTAGATGCCATTTATGATAATTTGGATTATTAAAATATGATTATAACTATGCTAAATATGATGTATAAGAAATTTATATTTTATATCCTTATTTCCAAAGTAGACCTGGAGTACCCAAGTATCCAACTGTTAGTTTTATTTAGCTGACATTTTTACTTTCACATAATTTCAGAAAGTCAACAAAGAACATAAATTGGTTAACCTTAAAGAGAACTATCTTTAGAGGTTCAGAATTTAAGGTACAAAAAACTGGATGTCTTTAATAAACAAATGTGTCATTTGGAACAAATGCAGTATGATGTGTGGGTTCATCCAATGTAGTCATCGGCATACTTCAGCATACTTGGCATAGTTAAAATTTCCAAGGTGTATGTGTGTCTACTTGTCAGTCTTAGTATTTAATTTCACCACAGATGGGCCTCACCAGGGCTCATGCTTCCAGCTGTCTTTTTGTCAGTGGGGATGGATGGATATACACAGATCCTCTCTTGCCTGATCCATCTTTCGACCTATGGCTTACATGTGTCAGATGTTTGGCTCACTAGAATCTGTAACCATAATAGTGCATTATTATCTGTCCTACCAGGAGATTGGACCCAAAGGCCCTTTTCCATTAGCCCTAGAATCTAGTCAACTGTCCTCACCAATCACTCAGTTCAGGAGGTGGGAAATTTTTGCATCAGCTGGGCAAGTCACGTTACCTCATTGTGTTTCAGTTTCTACATGTTTTCACAGGGATAATAATACCACTGTGATACTTAATGGAAGCCAGTATTTTGCCTGATAGTGTATGTTGACTACAAGTAGTTGACTGGCTTATAAAATAACCCAACTGACTGGAGAGAAAGGCAGTATACAAAGTTAAAGATCATTGTATTGACTAAAACCTAATTATAACTAAGTTGAAAATTGGCTTGTTTTTAAAAACATTTTTCTCCAAACATTTTCAGTTTGGAGTAAATTTGATATGGGGAAAAGAAATTGAGAGCATAGAAAGATAATTTTTCCTATTTTTGAGTCAAAAGTTTTTGAGGAAAATACATATTCTAATCCCTGATTTAAAAAAATTTTTTTTGCTATGCAATAAAATGTAATAGTCAATAAAATTTGCTATAACATGATGTTCCTTAATTTTTGGGCAAACTATCTTTTGCTGTAACATATTACTGTAATTGTTAGAGTGTATGTTTCAGGTGACAGCACATTTCTTGTTCCTAATATAAATGATTAGCCCGAATTGTGATCAAGAGTGGCGGAGTTAACACTTCAGGTCATAAACCTGTATTGAAATATGAATGAAGGTAGCAGGCCCAAAATACTGGAAATTAGGCTGAATCAGCATTTAAAGCAGGGTGTGATCCCAAATAACACCAATATATCTGGTTGCTGCCTGCTTAGGAAAGGGATGACCTGACTTGCTAGACAAGTCCAACAGAGACTACGTGGAGCCCTGAATTTTTGAGAGAGTTCTCACGTTCTGTTCCCATGGAATGACATGTCAGATGAAAAGAAAATTGCCAAGAAATGTGCTTTTCAACAAAACCTAAAACAGGGCTATAGGATTTTAATGTGAAAGCAGGGTTTTGGTATTATCGGTGCAGTTAGTTTCTGGGAGCAGTTGGCTGCTGTTTTGCCTGCAATAGCTGAATATTCCATATGCATGTCACTGACTCCTGGACACTGAAAATCCCTCACGTGTCCCAGCAGCACGAGGCACCTGCAGAAGTACTAATGGACAGTCACTTTCCATCACCTAAAAACATGATCAATCTATTTACTAAACGGAATTCTGGCTCCGCAAATTTGTCCTTTTATTTTCCTTCACTTTTTTCCTCCTTCCAAACAAAAAATAAGACAACTGTTGACATTTTCTTAAATCATCGGGAAATGTAGAGAGATTGTCTTAATTCAGTATGCAGACCAACTAGGACTCCCTCTGGAAAATCACAGGAGACCAATCAAGTCCTGCTCAAATGGAATAATTACGAGGTTGACCTTATATATAAACATATGTTGATTTCTGCAAATAACTCAGTTATATCTTGTCTACTTCTTTCTTAGCCTCTTTGTAACTACATTGTGGAATATCTTTTTACATCCTTCTGCTACTTTGAAATCGTCATCACAGCAGGTGAAGCACTTGCTTAATGTAAGAAGAGGAGGAGAGCTTAAAGATCTCTTAACGGGATGCCAAATGGGGAAGCTTCGGCTGTAGGTTCTGGTGGGGGTGGGGATTGGGTTCATCATGGCAGCGGGGAGAAGGGATGACTGCACAGTCATCCCTTCACAGATAAATAAAAGATAGCCTCCGAAAGAGTGAGAAATTGTGCAAGCCAGCCTGGCAAATCAGATAATCACCCCTTTTTATATAAGCAGATATTCCCAGGCAAGGGTTGGAGTTCAGATTGAGATCACACATTTAATTCTGTGTCCTGTATAGTGAATTTCGTGTTAAAAGTCTACAAATCTTTCCCATTAACAGAAGTAATAAGATATTTTCCATTTCTCATTTAAGTTAGAAATGTGCATGTTTTCTGTGATTCCTTTTCTCTGCCACCTGGTGGGTTATACTCAAAACTGCAGTAGTAATGTCCTAGGTCGAACTTGTCAACCGATGTTCCTATTTTATGATTTATCTCATTTGGATTTTTCCAAGTGATTGACATATACTGTGAGTAAGCATTTTAAAGTCCATCATAGGTTAATAATAAAAATCCCAAGGGTATCTAGGTTTCTTTTAAGGTTCCTTTAAAATGTATTTTTATTATTAAATTATTTTTTACTTAGGCCCAGTTCTATGGAGAAGTGAAGTGGTCATAACTTTGGGCAAGAGTCTTGGTGAAGGTCTCTAACTTCTTTTGGATTTAAAATTTTTGATTTTTATTATAGTTGACATACAATATTATATTAGTTTCAGGTGTGCAACAAAGTGATTAGACATTCATATCCCTCAGAGTGATCAGCACTGTAAAGCCTGGTACCCATCTGATATCACACATAGTTACCACATACTGTTAGCATATTCCCTGTGCTGTCCTTTACACCCCTAAAACTTACTCTATAACCGGCAGTTTGCACTTCTTAGCCCCCTCCCTCCCTTTTTTTTTTGCCCACCCTCTGACCCCCATGCCATCTGGCAACCATCAGTTTTGTTTTCTGCATCTTTGAGTTTTTCCTTTTGGATTTTTTAAAAAAACTTTCAAGCATAGAGGAACACTGAAATAATTTTACAGCATTTAAACATATAACCCCCTGCAGAGACTCTACCATTAATATTTTACTTGATTAGTCATGTATCATGCATATACCTCTCCCTCTATTATATTTTTAATGGATTTTAAATTAAATGTAGACATTAGCATACTTCTCCCTAAATGCATTTCACTAATGAGAGTTCAATATTTGTTCATAGTTATTTTTCTTTCTTTTGAGGTAAAGTTTACATTCAGGTGGATGCACAAATCTTAAGAGTACCATGGGGTGAGTTTGGGTCCCCTTTAAATGCCTATAAAATACAGAACATTAGCATCACCCCATTTCCCTTCCTTGTCCCAGTTGATCCCTGTTCCTACTCCATCAACCGCTGTCCTGATTTTTTCCACCCATCGGTGGTTTAGAACTTCACTGTAAATGAAGTTATACAATGTGTACTCTTTTAGTAAGACTTCTTTAAGCAACAAACATAATACATTTATCACATGATGTTTTTACTCAAGCTATACAGTATTTCTTTT